TCATCACTAAACTGGGTACTCGATGTCACAAATTCCAACCTAGCTGAACATTTTAAGGTCTAGGTGTTAAGGTAATATTATCATTCAATTGGTGTAATCCTATTGAGGAATGCCGGATGTGCGTTCTGTCCTATCAGCGCCTCATCGGCCGGGAGTACACGCCCTTAGGGAGTGTTGATGTTCCTGCTTCTAGCCACCATCACTTACCGATATCAAAATTGAAACGGTAGGCAATGCCGAGCCATCCGTGCAGCATCTCACATGCCAATGTAGATCGATCAATTCCGTCCAATCATCGATGCGACAATACAAGCAAATCATGGTATAACTCTCTGTCCAAAAAAGACGTACAATGTCGTTTGCTACAAAAATTGTTTTGACATGAACAAAACTACAAAAAATTAGCACTAATGAGCCAGGTTGGTAAATCACAGCAAAGCCAGTTCTAATCTGATGAGTTGAAACAGAGGCAATCACTCCACCAGAGTCAAAATTACTTTTCATTCTGTCCAGTTGGCCTTCTCGGTCGATCACTAAAACTCAGAGTTTAGCTGCTACCAATTACACTTTTGCCATTCTCTCCATGAAAGTGAAAGTGAGGATGGCGACATGGAATGTCCGCGTCATGTAAGAACCCAGCAAGGATGTTCAGATTGCAACAGAGAAGAGCAGGTATATATGGAATGGCTTGGAAACTCCGAGGAATATGCAGACGGAATGGAAGCCGACTCTCCTAACTGTCAACTGCACAGTCAATAATCTACTCTGGTCACAAGCAAACGGAGACACTGGCTATCATGATATCCCCAACAATATCGAAGGCTGTCATGCAGTGGCAAACAATCTCCTCCTAAAGCACTAGCATCATGACAACAAAATTCAAATCAAAAGGAAGGAAAGTCAAAATCATGCAATGCTACAATACGCGCCCAGAGATAATACAGATAAAGAGAAGAAGGAGGAATTCTATAGACAACTACAATCAGTACTGGAAAAGACAAGACAAGACAAGACACCCAAACCATGATGCCGACATCAAAATCCATTCTAATGGGTGAGGTGACATGAATGCGAAACTGGGAGCCGACAACACAGGAAGAGAGGTCATCGTTGGTCGAGAGGCACTCGGTGAAATGATGAATGAGAATGGATAACTGTTTGCAGACTTCTGCACATTCAACGATTTGCTGATTGGAGTCAGGCAGTGTGCACAAACAAACACAAGCATATTCACAGGGCAGTGACATCGACTCGATTTCACCATTCACCAGATGGACACACTACACTAAAGATCACATCGACTTCATCTCAATGTGGAGAAAGTGGAGACGCAGTCTACTGAACACAAGATCAGGTCACAGGTCACGAAGAGGAGCAGATGTAGGTTCCCACTGCTCACTATCTAGTGCGAGGAACCTACTTGGAGATCAATCAAGTTGAAAGCCCTCAAGGGAACTGGTGATGATAGACCAGAGTTGAAGTTGAACACCCAGAAACCGGATATGAATGAGGAGACTACAAAGGAGATGTTCATATCAGTGAGCCATGAGGAGAAAATGTGAGGCATTGAGTAACATCCTTGAAGGGACCTGTGTGGAAGATCACTTGGACTAGGTTGTATTGTGTTTTCTGAGCTGGGTTGTTTAATCATAAAGCTTTCATCGTCTTTCTGGATGACACCATCAGCACTGACTTCAGTATGAACACTGGAACTCTTTGAAAGAGATGTCGAAGGAAACCTGCATGACCAAGTTAGGAGGGAAGAAGAAGCAAGACGAGACGAGACGAGACGAGATGAGACAAGGAATGGATCTCCACGGACACATGGAAGCTGATAGAGGAGGGAGAGGAGGATGGTGAAGCGGAAGATAAATCAGTGCAGTGCAGTGCAATGCAATGCAATGCAAGGATGAACAACGAAAAGGGGAACTGAACACAACATATAAAACACTTCATTGGACAAAGAAGTGAAGAAGAGTGTGTGGGAAGAGGAAAGACACTTCTACAACTCACTTGCAAGTGAAGCAGAACAGGTTGCAGGTAGTAGGAGATACGGAGGAGATCTGACAACATTCGACCAAATAACCAGGTCACTCACTATCTGGTGGGGAAGACATCAACACACCACAGATGAAACCAATGAAAGATGGTGAAGGGAATCTAGTTACCACGAAAATGGGAAACAAAGGAAACGATTGACTGACTACTTCAAAAATCTCTTGAATCGACCAACACCACCACCACTATCACTTGCAAGTTGTCCAGAAATACCAACACCAGCACAGCTACACAACTGTCAGTGAACACAAATCCTCCGACAAAAGCAGAATTGAAGTCCTGAACACCATAAACATGCTGAAATCCGGGAAATCACAAGGACCACATGGAATTCCTCCAGAAGCATCAAAACAAAAGACACAGAGACAACAGTGAACATGCTCACACCACTATTGAACAAGGTTTCGAAGGAAGGTAAGATACCTGGTGATTGACTGAAATGAGGGTTAGCTTGTCAAACTCTCAAAGAAGGGAGACATAAATCTTTGCAAGAACTGGCGACGATTCATGCTCCTGTCCACACCCAGCAGAATATCAAATCGCATCATCCTGGAGAGAATAAACAATGCTCTCGATTCAAAATAACCACCGGAACACGTTGGCTGATCGAATGGCTGACAGGCTGCCTTCAACAGGAACAAATCATGTGCAAGTCAAATTGCAACACAACACAACACGACACAACACAACGCTGCGCTACGCTTCATCACAGTACACAGCATCGAATGGCACTCAATACTTTACATTACCCCAACTTAATCGACTTTGAAAAGCATTCGACAGCGTTGACCGAGAAGCGATTTGACAGCTGCTTCAACACTACAATTTTAGTGCCACAAACTTTCATCAACCTCATTCAACAGCTATATACCATATGATGACACTACATGCCGAGTGATTCACAATGGAAATCACAGTACAGCACATTGCTGCCTTTCAACTGAAGACAGCAGAAAGACGATTCTGCCGCCTATTATCATCACCTATGATCTTCCAGACTGTGGTCGACTGGACTGGACTGGACTGGACTGGACTGGACTGGACTGGAGCATGCAACCGACAACTGTGAGCAGCTGTGAGAAGAGGGGGATAGTCTGTTTGGACGATGAAGAGACCTCAGAGGGAGATTTGGATTTCGCCGATGATGATTTGTGTCTAGTGTCACACAAACTCGATGATCTACAGGCAGAAATTGACGAGTTGACAGAAGAGGCAGTTAAGATGTGACTTCCTTCAGGTGAGCGTAGAGAAGGCAGCTGGTGTAGATGCCCAACCACCACCACCACCAACAACAACAACAACAAATACCAATCACCACCACCGTCTACTGCAGTCTGAATAACGCGTGAAGACGACCCGGATTTTCAACACTAATACCAAGGAAGTCAGTACTTCGATGTGATGGTTGAGAGACGTGACGCGTTACGAAAGCAGTTGCAACAAACTACAGATATTCATCAGTACCTGCCGTCTACGCTCACTCGATACTGAAGATCAGGTGTCTAGAAGGAATAAGCATCAGGAAATTCCGGACTGGAAGAAAAACCAACCAAGGACCTATCACGAAGCAAATATGTAGAAGAAAGTGGAGATGGATTGGGCATACGCTGAGACCGACTGGGCATCACGCGCCAGGCTAGGCTGTCGAGTTGAATCCAAAGTGGAAAGGACAAGTTGGTCGTCCGAGGCGAGGATGACACGGAGGAGATCATGAGAGTAAGAAACGAAAGCTTGTGGGCAGTCGTGACGCCAGGTTCAAAAGACTGCATAGGACAGAGTGGAATGCGGATATGCTACTGAAGCCCTATGTCCCACCAGGAAGCAAAGGGGAAAAAAATAATTAAGCTTTTGCCATTCAAAATGAAGCAACATATTTGGGTACACACACATAATTTCACCTCTGCTGCATAGTTCCGAAACACGAAGGCAGGATTTCCATAAAAACCACAGGTACCCCTAACCGACGATCCTGAGGAAACACGAAGCTTATGTCCGCCAGACCTGGTTGTCTATTGACTTCATACGTCTCAATCCGAAAGACACTACACCTTGTCCGCACTGGAACAGCAGTTTCCAGACTATAGACCTGCCACGACTCACACTCCCGTCCTACTCACGACCATTGTTCTAAAACAATTTGTTAAACCACAAGTGAGTCTAAAGGTTACCCTAACACAACTGTAACAAACTATTCGAATTCTTCATCTCGACTGTAAAGGTCAATCCTTATAAGATTAATAAGCGTAATTGGCTATTTCTGGTGTTTTTAAGATGTCCTTCATAATTAATCTGAACCGCAGGCATAATAGGTGGTTAGGTCAGTCCTTTCTTCCTGTGTCAATTTGTTTATTCTGTGTAGTCACTCATAATAGTACGGGGTCGGACGATGTCTATTTTTTCATGTGATGATGAGGTCAACAATGTTCGCCCTACACTAGTCGGAATGGCTGAGTGGTTACGAATGTTTTGTTGGGATTCCTCGACATTGTTGTCGTTACAACACCACTCATAGGGGTGCAGGTACACCCGGCTGACGAGTCCCAAGTGGGACAAAACGCGCGTCCTGGATTCCGCTGCCAACTGATGAATTAAATTATGTCGTCAGTTATTACCATTTGTTGAGGTACTTGTGTGTTTCCGTGACATCCTAACAAAACACAACCGTGTGATAGAAATTAAACCTTATGGCGACATTTGCTAACACAATTTTCTAGGTCAATGATGAAAAGTTACGTAGATAGACGGACAAACGGCTGAATGGTGAGCGAGGACGTTTACTCACAAACATGAAATTCAGCTTTCAATTGGTTAAAATTAATAAAGTCAATTGCTAGTTTTTATTGGTTTAAATTATTTCTCTAGTGAATTCATACTTTCACCAATCCGAAGTATCTCATTGGCTACGTTATAAATATATTTTCTGTGGCGGGTGGGTTGCTACAGAAACGAAATGATTGACTTTAGGCGCACTCCTTGTAGTACTCTGTGGACTAAGCACTCTCATCAATTCGATTCCGACGGGCTATGTGGTGGTGGTAGGCTTCGACTTAACGGACGGTTTGGAACTATATTTCTCTGCAGGTAGTTATCTTCCGTCTGTATGTGATCCTATACTGAACGCCCTAAACCGACTGTCAGTCAGCCCAGAGTCTTCGAAATGGCGAAATTGTTCCTCCGGTGAATGCCAGCATGAGGATATCATCGTCCATCCCGGTCGCCTCGTCAATACAAATACCGAATTTACTAAACACAGTTTGACACGTAAGTACCTATTATTTCCTTTTTGTGCTCGTATCTCATCTGACGAGACTAAGTGCTTTGTATTACTGCAGGAAGTACATCTCGTGATCCGGGTCAAGATTCGCGTCCATGTATTGATGATTTGGTTTTAAACATGAGTACTGGCAGCGAACGTTCGCATATCCCTGTTGAGTATGTTAACAGTTACGTTACGAATTCAGTCCAGTTACCTAGTGATACTTATAAACGTGAGTAAACTTATGTGGTTGTCTATGCCTTTTATTCGCTTGTTTTCATAGGGAAATACGCTCTCTACACACACTGCTCGACTGTAGCTCCCAGTAGCAAAGAAGACAAAAGCTTCAAGGTGTCTCCAGTGTTTGACATTCTTGGTTGTCCTACTTCCCGTGATGAGTGTCCCATCAGTTCGGCTTGTATGGTGAAGGACCTACAATGGGAAAGCGTAAAGTCTCAAGCACGTAAGTCTAGTCCCTGGATAAACGCATCGTATAAGGACCCTACCAATGCCTTTACTACAGTCGTTCGCTTAATTACAGGACCCTGGAACAACCTGTCGCTCCGTGATGCAGTCGGAGCTGCTTTGTCGATACTCATCAGCAAACCCAAACCTGGGTCGCGTCGACAACCAACACGTCAGTCTCATCGAACCAAGGAATGGGATCACGATACTCTTAGACTTCACTCTTGGTAAGCTGTATTTCCTCGCTTCTCGCTCATTTATTCAGGTTTAATGCAATATGTCTCTTGGAGATCCCCGCCTCCTTGAAGCAGATGTTTTTGACTGTCCGTAGGAAGCTTGAGGAGGATTACGTTTTATGCGTATTCTGTCGAAACAATGGGGAGTCACCTGAAGTCTACGTGACCCATGAGGTATCTGTCATTTCAAGTGTTGCATTTCTATTTACTTTTGCTTGACTTAACCGAGTATACTTCTCGTTTTCAGGTGAAGGATCAGAACGGTCGAGTTACATGCCCGGTACTGCGTATTCTTTCGTGTCCAAACTGCCATGCCACCGGTGACCACGCTCATACTATTCGGTATTGTCCACATCCGAGGCAATTCAACTAACTTGTACTTTATATATTATGTGTATGACTGTCGTTATGTTTTTTCTCTTACTTCCTTACTCCTTTGTACACGTTACCACCTCATCTCACGTATGTGTCTTTTATGTTCGTTAATTCAATTCAAGCATTTCTTCTAGTGCCTTTTGGTTTCCGAGACGTTTACGTCGTGACTTTTTTCGCTGTTGTAGAGCGGAATACCACAACTGCGTGCGGATATGTCAGGGTATGAGACTAAGTATGGTTTGAATGACAATGAACGACGGGGTTGGGGAGGACAAGTGGGTTCGTTGCCGACCTTCAGTAAGTAGCATTAAGTTTCTGCGGCTATCTTAAGGGCCACTCGAGTAACTAATTGGATGGCAGTATTCCGCCTGGGATTACCTGGCGCCGAAGCATGAGGGTGGTTCACTCGCGCGTACCCTACTCGCCATTATGGTGATGTTTTTGTCCCAGAATGCGTTTGCGCATCAGGTCCCATGGTATTCCATAGTGCTATGAGGTTTAGTCAAGATTTGATATGTTGGTTTGTGACTTGGACTGAACTCCAAGGAGACGGTCCCCTGAAGTTCACAGCACTGGGTATTGTTGGCGTCGGTATGGCGGTGTCTCGCGATATAGCGTCCAAGTCGGTCCTCTGGCTTCGATGCAGTGTGAACGGTGCCAACCGTTAGTTTCAGTAGTTCGGACTTGTTATATACTCACGAATATGAGACCAAGGAAGAATACGATAGCGTAGTCGGGTGGAATAGTATGTTTGGGTGGTTGTTCCAAGATACCGATGCGTTCCAACCAACTGGCTAGAGAGTCGAATCCGAGCAGCGCAACGTGACACGGCAGCACGCCAAATGGCGAGAAGCTTGACCGGGTGCCTTCAGCTTTAGTGAGTCCACTTAAATTACCAAGGTCAGCATCAATGTTAAGTGTTGTCAAACCCTAGGCTATTGATTTTTGGGGAAGTGTATGACTCTACAATGTATACTATTCCGGTTCATTTCAGAGTATGTCTATGTCCATGTCTGAATAGACAGTGCCAACATTCTCCACCATTTATGCTTAGGATAACAAGATTATTCCCGATTGTCTTGAGTCCCGACACTGTCAGAGGGGTCTTGTTAAGATTGTCTGAGACAAATGTTAAATTAGTCGTAAATTGTATGAGAGGTGGGTAAAGCAGCTTCTCGCTACTTCTACTACTCACGAGTCGCTGTAGTTTCTGAAGGAGTCATGTTTAAGTGTTGCGGATATCGTACTTTAAAATCCACGTTTTACTGAAGAGTACAGCAAATCATCCTGCTCTGTCTTACTATACGAATCTGAACGGACAAGGGAAGGGGCAGTGCTTTTTATTTCTCTACTCATTCGCAGAGAGACTCCGAAATCAAAGACTTCAGTGGTGATAGAGTGATGGAGTTGGTCGTTGATACAGTCTTTTGGGCTAACTGGGTTGGTTGTACGTTTAGAGCTTAAGTGGTGCCAATCTAGGAAGAAAAGCACTGCTCCGTGGCGTAAGACGCACAGAACACGACAACAAAAGCCTAGGAGGCAGTTTGAAACAAGCTATTGAGGGTCTGCGATCTTCATTCCCACTACATCTCTGCTTACTCAGGAGGCAGCTTGGTCATAAAGAAGTACCCTGTGCAGGCGTTTAAAAGTGTCTAGGGACTCGGTATTCAACTTCTCATTTCCTCAGATATTCGGGGTTACTTCACCTTAGGCAGTTTAAACGGTATGAATGGTCTGGACGAAGACAAACGATAGTTTGGAGCCTGGGGCACAGTTGTATGCATATCAGTCATCAAGTTAGATTTGGTTGTTTTACTTCAAGCCAGTAGATTTCTATCTTTCCTTCATAGCCTTTGTTGGAATAATATTTCTTTATCCAATCTTAAATTTCTGGTGAACGTGGTGTTAGGCGCTCATACTTTGGTTCTCAGGCATTCAGAATATGTGGAACAGGTAAGAGGCCACACATTCAATCTACTATATATATATATATATATATATATATATATATATATATACGTAAAGAAAGAGTTAATTTGTGGATCAAATGCAAACACAACAAAAGAGTACGGATGGGTTTGAAGCAAAACTGTCAGTCGCGTGTACCATCTGCATTTTTGATGTTCAAGTTAAGGATAGTGGTAGTCGAAGATGCAGTGTAGGCCTACTAGGGTTCTAAGCTTATATTGTTTAGCTATTCCAGCTGGTAAAAAGTGAACTCAGCGTGGGCGAAGTGCATCTTCCAGTGTAATGTATCAAAACAACCAAAAGAACCAGCACATCTTTCATCAAATACGTTTTGTGGTCGAGTGCGATATTATCCTACTGTTACACGTAGAGTTGCGCGAAACAAATCGGAATTCGTTAGTCGGAGAGAACCAACCAAAGATAGGGACTGACATCTCATGGTGGTAGTTTTGGCATTGACATTTTGTCTATTTCTGTACCATAGTTGTCTTTTGAAAGAATGAAAGCGCAGTTCAGCTGTACGCAAGTAACTCCATTGGACCGTTTAGGAAACTGACAGGTCTTAACTGTGGACACTTGTAAATCATTTTTGCAAAATTATTGTTGGCAAGATATACTGCTGAGCAAATTGAGTATCCAGAAATCGCATGCACTCGCTAGTTTGGGCTGACGTAGATATATCGGTTGGTTCTTTTCATTTGTTTGAACTTGAGTGCATTAGTGGTGTACTCAAATTTTGCTGACAGATGAGTCAAATCAGCCGCAAAAAACTTTAATATAGCAAGTCTCAACGTGAACTGTGCAGTTTACAAATAATTTGCAGATGTGTCATTAGGGAATGTTGGGAAAGTTGGGTTTGTCAGGCAGATTTGTACAAATCTTAGTAGCGTATAGAAGTTGAGAAATTCCTACTGTGAACAAGCACACAAAAAATATTCAAATACCATCGTGTTACCGATAGTGCAAAGACCGCTTTCGCTACTTTCTTGTGAGTTACATACCGTAGAGCTATTCGTTTCAGGGACAACAATCCACTTAAGTGGTAACACCATAATAAAAAAAAAAGTACCGTAGCCTGAAGATAGCATAGAACTAATACTCGTTGCAGGTTTGTCCTTTGGAATTTGCGCTGAGAAAAGGAACCCTATGTATTCAGTGAGGAAATCATTTTGAATTTGTCTCGGAAGAAGATGGGAAGTGGTCAGACAGAAAATGCAGAAGTGATTAAAATCTATACCATATCCAAAGGATATTTTCATTGTATGCATTGGTCTGACGTCCATCCCTTACATAGCCCTCGGAACAAGCTTCTGGTGAAGAATGTGGAGTGAAAACTGTATGCTGAGACCAAGAAGTTAAGAACATCAAATTAGACTACCACTAACTGCCAACCTTCAGTTCACGTTGTAGTTGCCTCACTATGTCCAACTAATGGATATGGTGCAATTACACTCTAACCTTCATGATATTTTTAAGAAGGAAACAACCAGCGGTGTGTGGTCAGTAACCCCAAATTGAGAAGGGAATGTTTCCATAGTGAGAAGATTTAAATAATAACTTGGAGCATAAGTCATTTGCGCTGAAGAAATGCCTGGAAGGAAATAGCTACCAAAACAAGCTTTATTCAAAGGTATGTTGAGAAAAAATGCATCAGAATACATTCACTAGGAAACATTCCTTTACTGAATCTCGTATTTCAAGCACAAGCCAGGAAAACTAAACCCTCCTTCCCGACCATAACGCTCACTGACGTAATCTCAAACCAAACTAATTGGCGCGTACCTACCGAACTGGTGACATTGAGAAAACTTCGAAATTGTTTCAAATAACCTAGGGTTGAACGAATCCAATAATTTAGGCAGTGTATTTATTCCACACTTACTAAACACGCATCACTGAATGATTGCTTTGAAATTACTCAGGATAATGAACAAATTAAGTAACCTAAGTATTCCACGGTTTTTCGTCAAAGCATGCAGAACAAGATTTCCGAAGCAAAACGAAGTCAGCTAGAGATGACTCAGTGTAGAGTAAATTCAGTGTCGCAAAAAATTGGTAATATAGGGAGAGAATGAAAAGGACGAGTTTGGGAAACCATAAGGCTCCCAGACGGGGAGGTTAACCTAACAAGCAATGAGATAAACTGTTGTTGTAGGTGAGATTTTCTGGATTGAGCTGGGGTAAAGTAGTTATTCAATTAAAGTGTCGACAGCAAAAAATACTAGGAGTGAGAGAAAGAGATGAAGATAGAGAAAGCTGGGCTGAGGTGGGGTTTTGCTGACGATGTTGACCAACAGTTCAATTCATTTCGACGACGTTGTAATCAAGCAATCTTTCTTGAGAAAAAAGAAACAAGTAGTCGCTGAGTTACGAAGGTGTAGCGGCAAACAACTCGATGAGATCAGCAGCCAAGGGTCCCACGAGGTTCACACTGGTGATGACCTTCGTAGGTTTAGCGGGATCACCAAGTTGAAAGAACATGGTCAAGAATCCACACTATTTGGCATGTTATCGTGTCACGTAACGTTTCTCGTACTCAATCCTGCAGGCAGTTAGCCGGAACGCATCGGTAATTTGGCTTGGCTTATCAAACATGCTATTCCATTAGGCCACTACTCTGTTTTGTTCTTCCTTGGTCCCACACTAGTGGGGATGTAAGAAGTATGAATAGTTAGTGAATGACCTCTGCTTCCGTCAAGTTTACGCAAGGTCTATTCCTAAAACGGTATAGCTTTAGGTATTAGTGATTCATGCCCATCAGTTAAAAAAATGGTCGATTAGTAGTAAGGGGTGTGAAGTAGTTCACTTGAGGCATCTAATGTTGAGAAATCTGATTCATAATTCAACGTACGTATACCTGATTCATTTTTACGGTTTACACTTGGTCATGTCGAAAGTAGCTGCCATCCTATTCAGATAAAAAGTAACCATAGAAAAGATATCGCATCAAAAAGTAGTCTAATGGTTGATACGGCCTTGGTTCGGTACATCTTTTATGCGTAGGCTGAAGAGCACCGGTCAGTGTAAAACCAGTATATTTTAGGCTGGATATTAGGAAAAAATCACTGGAATCTTCTAACATATCAAATTCTTCTATATCAACATCCTCACTAGTAAAGATGACAGTATTTCTCAACAACTTTGCATACGCCAAATGATCAGTATCAGAAATGACTGTAAGGTCGGTAAACTTTGCATAGTTAATTAGTACCCTAGTTACTGGTGAATACTATCTACTCTGAGATCATGAGAGTGGCATTCAAATCATAAGTAAGGAAAGTCGAAATCATACAATGCTACATTACACTACACTACACTACACTACACTACACTACACTACACTACACTACACTACACTACACTACACTACACTACACTACACTACACTACACTACACTACACTACACTACACTACACTACACTACACTACACTACACTACACTA